CTAATTACCGCCGATGAAATTAGCAGTTAATATACGCGTGTACACACGGAATGGGGGTAGTTTGATTGGGCCAATTCGAGGCAATTCCTGGCGATTGCTGGTTTCATTGAGCCTGCGCTTAAGAGCTCAGTGCCACGCTGCCGGTCAACGGACATGGATCTCTTGGAAAGTATAGGTACTCTTACCTTTCTCGTCCTTCCGATCGATCATCTTCTCATAAATCGATCGATCGATTCTAATCCGTTTCTAACCTCTCAATCCAAGTATATACCGGATACAACTGATACGAGGACGAATCGAAACGGTGTGGATGTAAAATTGCGGGACAATTCGAATCATTGATAGTGCATGGGACGCAAATCGATGGGAGGATCGTGCATTCGGTAGACAGAGGATCGGTGACGCGATGTACGCAAGTCGATCGTCGCCGAGTGCGCTCTGTGATCTCTCAAACCGTTTGATCGAGGTTCAAGGTTCCGGTTCAAGGACTTCTGCGAACAGAGACACGAGATGGATAGCTGATATGTTCGATGTGACTGAGGCTAGGGTGGAAACTAAGTGGAATTTATGGGAGTTGGGTTAGGTGGTACTTACTCGATGATGTGTGATGTTCAAGAACATGAATTTCATAGAAGATACAGCGATTTTAGGAAATGGAAATACGTGGACAGAAATTCAGGTAACGTGTTAATTATATTTTTGTTTACGAAAATTTGATTTCAGTATTTTAAGATTGACTCGTGTTAAATTGTGCGAGATTGTCTAGTTCTTTTTCTAGATACTTTCGCTCCTCACCTTTGCAACCTTTGTAATTTATAGAAGTAGTAATTGTTCGAATTATGCCTCGATCTCTATTTCTATTTTTCACCTGCTTATCTGTAAGTGATAAATCAAGTGTGATTAAAAAAATTATAAATAAGAAGTACATGTTTGAAACATGAACTATGAATAACTTATGACTTGGATAATTTCGTGTATAAATAACGTCATTGTCGGAGTATGTTGCGTAAGCTGCTCCAACTTTCTGCATAAAACTATACAATGATTCGTATTCGTCTTAAACGCAGATTAATTTCTGTTTAATTAACAAAAATTTAGCTGCTAATAGATTTTTTCTAAAAATTATTCTTTTTTAAGGTTTATTTATTTTTCTATACGATGTTCAATTTCATATCTCCAATATCTATTTCTTGAAGTTATAAAACCCTAAAAGGGACTCTAGATAAGTTCTTTTGCCAATATTTTGAAACTTCTTCTGAAAAGAAGTAGAACATAAATAGCATAATTTTTCCTAAATCTAAAACTCCAATGGTGCCAACAACCAACCAACCAAACCGAGAACCCTTATTTCCAGTATTCTGCGCTTCATCTTCATCCACACAGTCCGAAAATGCGAGGTACTCTTTTTCCTGAATTTAGAACTATACCAAAGAAATTCACATCATTAATTAAACAAAAAGTGTATCCTACGATGCTGTAACAAAGAAACAGAAAGTAGGCAAATTAGATCATTATTAAATTTACTTTAGAAGTAAATTTTTCCTAAAACCACCTTATTTCCTCTAAACAGCGCGCATCCAGCATTCTCTTCACCATGATCTCCGTTCCAAGAAACATCGAGGTCGCAGCGGGTCAAGCGCAGGTCGTCCATATTCGAAGTGGAATCGTGATGTACACGATTTTCTCATCGCGGTGGACCGTGCACAAGCCAACCCGCTCCGATTCCCACATGCCCCTCCAAGCTCCTCTGCAACATCACCTAACACACATCGTAATATCGAGGCGGCGTTCTCCAACTTGTTCGCCGGGGGGCGGTCGCAATGGCGTGGCAGTGGCCACGAGACCAAAGAGAGACTCTCGGACCCTAACTTCAGACAGAGGAAACGTAAACGACAAAGATGCAACGCACATATACCTCTATATACGTTCAGCCAATACCATGACGAACCATTTTATTTGGAGTGGTGGAGTGGTACCAGGCCAGAGAAAAGGCAAGAAAGCGAAAAAAGAAAAAGAAAGAATCAAAGAGATGAAAGAGCACATACAGAGAGAGAGAGAGAGAGAGAGAGAGAGAGAGAGAGAGAGAGAGTGAGAGGGGGGGGGG